AGTATACATAATTTAACTTTCCTGTGCAAAATGTATTAAATAGGTGGCTGATTATTACCTCATAATAAAGTTGCTATTTATCCAAAGTAAGTTATCAATCTTGAGTCAGCTCCTTGATTAAAATTTTAATAGACATTAAAATTTTTCTTTGGTCCTGGCCTGGTATCTCAGTTTGTTGGAACATTGTCCTGGTACACCAGGGTTGCTGGTTTAATTCTCTGGTCAGGACACAAGCAAAAAGCAACCAATGAATGCATTAACAAATGGAACAACAAATAGATGTTTCACTTTCTCTCTCTCAAAATCAACCAAATAAAAAATTTTAATTATTTTTATTTTTATTATTTTTTAATTATACAGGGTCTGGCAGAAGTAACACCAGTGAGTGTGGTTGGTATGGTACATGAATGTCTCACGAGAGATGGACAGCAATTTGCATATTTCACCTAAAGTGCCACATGGTATGCTCGAGTGTGACATTGTTATGTTACAGAATTACGTGCTTATGATATTGTAGTAAAAGATTTTTATGTAATAAAAAAGAGAATTATTCGTACTGGACCCTGTATTTTATCGATTATGCTATTACAGTTGTCCTAATTTTTCCCCCTTTGCCCCCCTCTACCCAGCACCCCCCACTCCCTCATGCAATCCCTACACCATTGTCCATGTCCCTGGGTCATGAGTGTAAGTTCTTTGACTGCTCCACTTCTTATACTGTACTTTACATCCCCACAGCTATTCTGGGACTACCTGTTTGTACTTCTTAATCTCCTCACCTCTTCACCCACTCCCCCACATACCCCTCTCATCTGGCAACCATCAAAATGCTCTCTGTATCCATGATTCTGTCTCTGTTCTTGTTTGCTTAGTTTGTTTTCTAGATTCAATCATTGAGAGATTTGTATTTTTTTGCCACTTTATTGTTCAAAGTTCTGATCTTCTTTTTCTTAAATAAGTCCCTTTAACATTTCATAAATAAATAATGGTTTGGTGATGATGAACTCCTTTAGATTTTCTCTTGTCTGGGAAGCTCTTTATCTGTCTTTCAATTCTAAATGATAGCTTTGCTGGGTAGAGCAGTCTTGGCTGTAGGTCCCTGTTTTTCATGACTTTGAATATTTCTTTTTTTTTAAAGATTTTATTTATTTTTTAGAGAGGGAAGGGAGGGAGAAAGAGACAGAGAAATATCAATGTGCGGTTGCTGGGGGCCGTGGCCTGCAACCCAGGCATGTGCCCTGACTGGGAATCAAACCTGCGACACTTTGGTTCGCAGCCCGAGCTCAATCCACTGAGCTACACCAGCCAGGGCTCGACTTTGAATATTTCTTGCCAGTCCCTTCTAGCCTGCAAAGTCTCTTTGGAGAAGTCAGCTGATGATCCTATGGGAATGCGCCTGTAGGTAACTAACTGCTTTTCTCTTGCTGCTTTTAAGATTTTTTCTTTCTCTTTAAACTTTGGCATTTTAATTATGATGTGTTTTGGAATGGCCCTCTTTGCATCCACCTTGTTTGGGACTCTCTGTGCTTCCTGGACTTGCATGTCTATTTTCTTCACCAAATTAGGGAAGTTTTCTTTCATTATTTTTTCAAATAGAGTTCCAATTTCTTGCTCTTTCTCTTCTCCTTTTGGCAACCCTATGATGCAAATGTTAGAACACTTGAAGTTGTCCCAGAGGCTGCTTATACTATCCTCATTTTGGGGGGATTCTTTTTCTTCTTGTTCTGATTGGTTGAGGGTTTTTTTTTTTTTTTGCTTCCTATGTTCCATATTATTGATTTAATTCTTAGCTGCATCCACTCTACTGTTGTTTCCCTGTAAATTGTTCTTTATTTCAATTAGTGTATCCTTTATTTCTGACTGTATTTTTTTTTATGCCGCTGAGGTCTTCACTAAGTTCCTCGAGCATCCTGATACAAGTGTTTTGAACTCTGCACCTGACAGATGGCTTATATCCATTTTGTTTAAGTCTTTTTTTCTGGATTTTTGATCTGTTCTTTCATGTGGGCCATGTTTCTTTGTCTCTTCATTTTGACAGACTCCCTGTGTTTGTTTCTATGTATTAGGTAGGGCTTCTTTGACTCCATGTCTTGGTAATGTAGCCTAATGTAGTAGGTGTCCTGTAGGGTCCAGTGGCACAGCCTACCTTTTCACCCAAGCTGGGTACTCAAAGCACACCCTTTCTGTGGGCTGAGTACACCCTCTTCTTGCAGTTGAGCTTTGGTTGCTGTTGGCAGATCAATGGGAGGGATTAACCCAGGCCAGTCAACTGCAAGGACTCATTGTGACTACTTACCACCAACCTCCTTCCTCCATGGAGGACCAGCTGTGCAGGGGCAGGGTGGTGGTGCTCTGATATACTCAGTAGCTGTCCACTGGGTGCACTTGCCCTGGGGGTTCCCAGGTGGTGCAGGCCAAGCTCAGCCCCTACCTGTGTTTTGCCTGGGGCCGTGCTGCCTGGTCTATAAAGCAATCTGAGATCATGGCTACGTTTACTGGGTTTTTCCCAGTACAAAGCCAAGATGTGAATCTAGGCTGGCTGCTGCTAGTGCTGGGTCTGGGGCTCTCTGAGGCCAGCTGTTGCTTGTTTGATAGGATTTAGGAAGTTGTACAGCAGGAGCTAAGACCAGTCATTCATATGGAAAAGCAGCTTGGGTGGGCCTGCTAGGTGGGTGAGGCAGAGCCACTGGAGATCTCCAAGGTGGGTCAAACAGTGTTAGCCAGGTTGATGGAGTCTCAGATATGGTACCAACCTACCCGCTCTGTGAGTAGAGGGCTCAGCAAAGGGACAATGGCCTCTGTTTGCCCAGATTATAGACACCTCAGTTCCTCCCTGTATACCACTGGTAACTTTCAAGCTGCTACTGTGGTGATCAAGCTCAGAAGGAGTGTCTGAGTAGGCAAGTGTGTGTGGGTTCTTTAAGCAGAACTGCTTCGGGCTCCAGAAGTTTCGTCCCACTCAATCCACACTGGTTTTTGCAGCCAGAAGTTGTGGGGGCTTATCTTCCTGGCACTGGCACCTTGGGCTGGAGGGCCTGGTGTGAGTCTGAGACTCCTTGGTCCCAAGATATTCCTCCTGAATTTTTATTCACCACATGTGGGTGAGGAACCAGCCCTTTCTGCATTTGCACTCTTTCTACGTGTCTGGATGGATGTGGTTTCTTTAATTCTGTAGTTGTCAGACTTCCATTCAATTTGATTTGTGATGGTTCTGAGTGATGGTTGTTCTATATTTTAGTTGTAATTTTGATGTGGTTCTAAACATTTTTTCTCTGTATTTTACAAACATAGGAACCCTTTTATTGAATTCTTTACTCTTAATTTTTAAAATAATTTTTAAGGGGCATTAAGTAGTTAACTAGAAAGAAAAATATTGAAAATGATAAAGTGAAACATCCACAGGATTTGTCTCCAGTTCCCACACTACATGAATTTGTTCATTTAGCAAATATTGAATGCCTACCATGTACCCCTTGGATCCATCAGAGAATAACACAGCAAAGAACTTTATGGTCAGAGAGGGGAGTGGAAGAAAGTAGGGGGAACCAACAATAAATAGTGACATAAGAAATAAGTAATGTTTACACCATGGTAGAAATTGATAAATGCTAGGGCTCAGCAGCATGAGGAACTGGGGAAGGTTGGACCTGCAATTTTAAACAGGGTGGTAACACAGTACACTCAAGGAGAAGGTGACATCTGAGCCAACACTTGAAGGAGATGAGAAAATATGAGGTCTGTCTAGAAAGTGTCCATCCATGTAATATTGAAAAAGAGACATTTCTTGCAGATGACACAAGATACAAGAAACATCATACATAGGACAATGATGCCTCAGGCCCCTTCAGTGCAAGCGCCTTGGTACTGCACATAGTTCTCCCAGTCACCATCAGCTGGCCTGTCATAGTTTCCTGAATCTCATAAATGGTCTGAAATTTCTTCCCTTTCAAAGGTGGTTTTAGTTTTGGGAAAAGCCAGAGGTCACAGGGCGCCAAGTCTGGGCTGCAGGGAAGCCCCATACATGGAAGAGTCAGAGACCCCACAGGCACGAGAGATTCAAAGATAGAAAGGGAGTGAGGTGTACAAGATAATCTGAGTTTAGGGAGGAGCTTTCCCTCTCTGTTTTCTTCTACGTATTTTATGTTTTCAGGTCTTACATTAAAGTCCTTAATTCATTTCAAGGTAATTGTCTAAACTTTAAAAAAAAATCCATCTTGGACATTCTTAATCATTTCACTCAGCTATTCCCCAGTTAAATGTTTCCAAATACTAAATACAATCTTTCTTGCAAGCATCAATGTTTGATGTAACAACCTTTTCTAGAGGGGTAGCTGTGTCCTACCCCTGTTTTTACCAAAAGTACTTTTGTTTTTAATTGTTCCCTCCTTCAACAGGGCTCTCCCCAATCTTTGGGAAAACCTACTTTCTAGGATGTGATTATTTCATTCATTCGTTCATGAAGCAAATATTTCCTGAGAACCTACTACATACCACACTGGGTAGATGCTGAGGATGCAGTGAGGAGCAAACAGCAAAACAATTTAGCTCAGTCTGCGAGGTGTGTGCCCACATCACAGTTCCAGAAGCCAAGAACATGGGAGAGACTCGCTGGGCATCTAAAAAGACAGGGTCCCTTCCTGCAAGTCACTGTGCAGTTCTTGGGAAGGCTTTGATGCTGAGAGAGAGGTTAAGTTAAATAAATGCAGAAGGGATGAGAGTGCCTGCAATTCAGGCAGAAAATAAGTAAACATCGTTAAAGCAAGCAAGCAAGCAAGCAAGCAAAACTCCCTCAAGAAGCACAAGCTACAAGCTTCGCAGGCTCGCCCTCCCTCCTTCTCAGGTGAGGATAGTGAACCGGCATGAGGGGCTGCGGAAGGGGCCGCCCTTCAGGGTCCCACCCGCCTTGTCCGGGTCCTGAGGGTGTTCTTTGCTCCCGACCGGGCCCCGGGCTCGCCCAGCCTGTTCCACTGGGAGAGGCCGGGTGGGCCGGGGTGGCGGCCACGCCCTGGCAGAGGCGGGGCGGGCGGGACTGGGCGTATTTGAGACGTGGACCTGCAGCACCGTCGGGGACCAAACGACCTCGCCAGCAGCCACACTCGGAGCGAGCGAGCGAGCGAGTGAGTGCCCAGGAGTGTGGTGAGTGTCTCAGGCGCCGGGATCGGGGGACGGGGACCCGGCCTGCTGGCTGCTTGGTCCGGCAGCGGAGAGAACGCCCGCGCGCTGCTCCGTGCGCGGCTCCCTTTGCAGAGCTCGGGAGGGTGCCTGGCGAAGGGGCTCGGCTTCCCGGGGCCCTGGGCTGCGCGCGGGGGGCCCGGACAACTGGAGAGCCCGGAGGGGAGCGGTGGGCACCCTCTAGACAAGGGTCCATAGTCTTTGACCCCTCGAGAGATCGGACTCAGGGGGAGTTAGCAGCGTCTCACTAAACTCACGTCCATGCCTCCTCGGGGCGGACGGGTGTGTCCGTGGACGCCGGGCGTGGACCCAGGACACCCTCTGCGACAACTGAGAGGCTGCGCCACGTCCCGCCCTTCTGCCGCCGGGCCACCTCGAAAGCAGCTGGGTTTGCCTGCGAGAGGGTAGTGGAGGGGCGCGCCCAGGCTTGGTCTCAGGAGCCAAGTCCCCTACCCCAGCACACAGGGCGTACTGCCCAGCGACTCTCCAGGGCGGCACCTGGGACCCGTGACTTGGCTGCCCCGCTACTTGATCTTGCTGTGGCGTGCGAATCAGTTCGTCTATCAACCCCATTAGCGACAGGGGTACAGCTCCTCTCTGGATGCTGACCCCACAGAAAATGGTCGGGTCCCAAGACCTGAGTGGTCACGTGCCCGGCTTGGCAAAGATCGAAAACCCTAAGCTTTTGCAAATCAGCGACTCATCTCTGATCAGATTGGCAATTTGAGCATTAACGACGTCAGATCTGTGCTGAAGATGGAGGGTGGGGGGCGAGGGTGGCAAAATGTTGGTCCGACTGTGCAGAGCCCTAGTTGAAGTTGGGGTGTGCGTGTGTGTCAAAAACGTGTTTGAGGACTGTTCCGAATTCTCAGCTATGCAGATGAAAACACTGAAACGCATCCACTCTAAGGAGTAGGCGCTCAGTACCAGGGCATCAGGGACGCGTAGGTTGAGGTTGTTTCTTGGGTTTCAGGCCAACCCCTTCAAGTCAGCCATTCCTGTTCCAGATACTATAGAATATCTGTAAGGTGACTCCTGGGAGTTGGGTTGCTGGACGAGAGGACAGTTGGACCTCAGGGACCCAGCTCGTTTCCAGTATTCTGGGAAAGAAATGGAAAGCAGGCTCAGTTAATTCTGAAAAAATTAAAAAATGATAGCAATAAAAGTTGACCACTTGGGCACAGAGCATAAGAAAAAATTTTCACCAGCTTCCAAAATTCTAGCTTATTTGCCTCAAGTTTGTAATATTTAACTTTCATACTAGAAAATTCTGCTTCCATAAAAGTTGAAATTGAGTAATAAAAATGTATTTTTCCACAATGGTGTCCTTTTCAGACATTGACTTTGAATCCCTAGATTTTCTCGTTCCTTTGATGGTTGAGCTTCACCCTTGATCTTCGGGAGGCTGGGGCTGGTTTTGGAACCCATGATGTTTGGGGAGGAGTCACACCTAGAATCATCACTCACTCCATATTCTGGGGAGAAATTTGATGATGGTCCCATAGTGACTGTGAGATTCATGATAACTCATCCAAAATATAGCCTCTCTTTCTTGTGATGGTGTGAGATACAGATTACCACCAAGGACAGCGAGGTAACATTGTCTGGTGCCTGAACTGGTTCTTCTCATTAAATTCTGAGTGGTAAGTCTGCAGGATAGAGCTTGCTGTAGGCTTACAGTTTGTTGCTAAGTATCATGTGTTCTCTCTTGACTGATGTTCAGGTTTTCCATAGGGGAAAAAAATCAGTAACCGAGAGGCACCAAGTAACTTTACCTTCCCTGATGTAGAGGATCTATGATGAGAAAGAGATCCTAGTAAAGGACCAGTATACTTCATTCCAACTCATTCTCATTGATTTGGCTTTGGGCAGTGGGTTTACACCCCTCCCCTCCCCCACCCCGGTCCTGTTCAGCGTTAGAGCAAGGGCAGGAAGTAGACCGCCTCCCCCACCAGTGTTCTTTGAAGAGGAGTGTGGGCAGGGCCTGGGGGTTCTCAGGAAATCCTTCACGATCTACTTCTCTTTATGGTTGTGTAAAGGTCTGGGCCCTTTGTGAGCAGAAATTTCAGAGGCGCTCCTGGGAGCGCCAGCTACTGGATTAATTGCTAGGTGATCCTAGAATAACATAGTAGTGTGGATACGGCTCTTTATTAAAGAGTAAACCTACAATTAACAGATGATTAAAATGGTCAACCTTCAGACTCATGTTTAAATTCCTTATTCCAAAGCAAACTGAACTACTTCCTGTAGGTTTTTCCAAATGGGAAGAGCCAGGTAGTACTGCCTCTATCTCTTTGTTTGTCTTCCATGTGATTTTTCTTTTCTGATTCTGGAATGCTGGAATGGAACTCACATAGGTATAGATTCTGTAGCGTTGGAAAGGTCTTTTCACATCTGATTGTCTCTATGTAAACTATCATCTTTAAAATAAATAAATAAATAAATAAATACATTATCCAGGCAAGTAAGGAAGATATTTATCTAAATAGATGTTTTTTTGTTGTTATCTTTATTTTGCGTGGGTGTTTGTTTTTTTTTTAAGTTCTAAAGTTGCTAACCTTGATTTCAAAAGAGCATTGGTTATAACCTTTTCCGAAAAAGAGATCTGATAGTTAGGAGTTGACAGAATCAAAACAGTACATATTTGGAAAAGTACACATTATTGGTTTAAATGTGTTTATAATTAGCAAGTGACTGTGCAAAATGGCATTCTTGTGTTCAATATTGCTGTACACTGAGTCACCCAGCTAGTTTTCTGACAAAAACATGATCTTTTTAAATTTGTTTACAATTTCAGTGTGTTTTGTAGATCTGAATGAATAAGCTAGATCATTTCTAAACGAAGTAACTAACACTTTCAAAGAATTATATTTTAAAATTTCAAAATATGAGGTTCTGTATTTATGTAAAATTAGCCTGAGTTTGGAATCAGGTTGCTTGGACCCTGGTCCTGGGCCTGCTAATGACAGAATGACTTAGGGCCACCATGTTACCTCTCTGAGCCTGAGTTTCCTCACTTCTAAAGTGGGAGGATGAACTTTTCCCTGTCAGTCTCATAAGATTTTTATCAGAATCAAAATAGGTAAGATATGTGAAAGTGCTTTGTAAACTGCAAAGCACCACACAAATGCAGGGTGTAATTATTCTGATGGGCTCGTCTAATGTGTCACAACACAGTCCAGACTGTCGTCCAAGGCATCATGTAAAACACAACGGAGGTGAAGTGAAATCTGCTGTCACTCAAACTGTTCTGGTTGTGTTGGAAAATAAACTGAAAACGCTTGAGCAGAGACTTTGAAAAGAATGAATGTTAAATTTTGGAAGTACCGTCTTTATGTGAGTTTCTGGTTGTAATCAGCCTTTAAACCCATCTAGGTTTGATTGGAGTTATGATAATAAACACTACATGAGGCCAATGGCACAGATTTAGCTAGTTTTAACAATTGAAACTACCTTTGTTTTTTATGTGTAAGTACGTGTATGTAAAGATACACATGCTACTTAGCCTAGACCAGTGGTTCTCAACCAGGCAGATTTTGCCTTTTTCCCACTTCCCCTAGTGATATTTGGGAATGTCTGAAGACACTTTTTGTTGTCACAATTGATGAGGGGCAGGGGTACCACTGGCTGTGCATTATAGCCAGGGATGCTGCTAAACATCCTACAATGCGCAGGAGTGCCCCCAAAACAAAGTATCTGACCTGAAATGTCAAGGGTGCTGAGGTTGGGAATAAGCCCCTATACAATGAGAATATTTAAAAGAAGTGAAAACACGTACACATTTACTTCTGGGCCTGTGGTATGTTGTCCAGGAGAGGAAGAGGAGTATGTAATCAAAGGAACTGAGCTCTTTGCCCACCATGACGTTCAAGATTATTTTCTACTAGTATCTAAAATGAGAGAGGCTTTATTTTCTTAACTTAAGAAGTGCCCTTTCTTTTCTTTTTCTGTAACAACTCTTTTCTCAAGCTCCTCCTGCTGGAGCAGCACGGTCTTCTAGGCAGTGCCAGTCTTTTGGAGAAGGAAGCACAGGCAGAAGAGTGCCCAACTTTGGCATTAAAAGATCAAGTACTATAGGAAATACAGTGACTGTAAACCCTGGGAGAGTCACTGTGACTTCCCAGTCAAACTGCCCTCAGTTTCCCACCTTGGAAGATGGCCACGGTGATAACCTGTTTCCAAATATGTTTGGGAATGCCCAGATTAAAAGAGGTGTGCCAAAAGAATAATTGTATCTGTGTGTGTGAATGAAGTGCACAAGAAATTCTAGGAGTTCTATCTGTTTGAGTTTTTACCAAAAAATCTAGTATTTGACATGGTTAGGACCTATCAAATAGTCACCATTGGTTGGATCTCTTGGGGGCAATGTCATTTCTTAAAATAATTGAGTAAATATCACAAGTGGGCCACTCAAGGAAAATGAGATTCCAACAATTTAAGGTCCAGGTAATTCTGGCTGTAGCACAGTAATCCTGAGCCGAGCCAAGAAGACTCACCCAGGCCTCAGCTGCAGTCGCACGCCGTCCTCTCGTCCGCCCCTCCGCGCTGGGGTGGCTGCCTGGGAGGAGCTATCACACACCCCGGGCGGCCAGCGGGAGGAGCCAGACAAAGCAGGAATGTCTCCGGGCCATCCCTAGAGGCAGCTTTTGGCAAGGTGATCGCTCTTTGCCCTACCCCAAAATATTTTCCTCCACATTGCCTAACTTTTTTTTTTAAACTTTGATTTGTTATACTGCCAAAGATTTCATTTGGAATGACAAGTATCTTTTTAAAAAGCGAACACTTTGTGCCTGCCTTTCTCCTTTATTGCTCCACAGCAGGCTCACCTCTCCCTCCAGGCTTAGTAGCTCAAACCACGCCTCCCCTCTTAGAAGTGATTGCTCTGGCTGTGACTTCCCACAGCACACAGTCTGGCTCACCGCTGGCCGGTGGACACTTTGACCTTCCAGATCTTGGCCTATCCATGTTCAACCCAGACAGGAGCCCGCACCGTGCCTGTGCAGGGCAGGCATAAATGTGTGTACGTGAAGGAATAAATAATCGGCAGCAACTACGTCTGAGGGGCGTTGTCCTTCAGATCTCAATAGGAATCAATAAACTCTGCTTTCCCACTAAAACCCAGAGGAGGCCTTGGGGTGTCAGTGAGAATGGGGCTGGGGGAGGAGTGTGGGCGGTATGAGGTGGTGAGGAAAGAGCACAGGAAGGGAGGTGAAGGAGGACCGAAGGTAGACCAGGACTGTGTCCGTTTGTTACCCAGGAAAGGGGCAGAACATTTTCTTCTTCAGTCTTCTCTCTCCTGCCTTGTATGGCCTGTTATTCCCCGGGCTCGGAACACAGGCTAGTGGATTAGAGTTTCAAGTCATGGGTTCGATAGGGTTTGGTAATCCTGGAGTGCATCTTTCCACTTTGATGGGGTATTTTTGTGGTTCCATGCTATTGATTGGAATGTATTTTGAAAATAGATCGGCTTGTACTAGAAGAATGCCTATAAACTGACTAGAACTACACAACAATTCGTGGTGTTAAATTTAAATGGGAACACATGAAATCTTTTCAGATTACATCATAACCTATCATCTTTTTTTCTCCTCAGGAAAATGGCGGACAGTTTTTCGGTAAGTGTTTTATGTCTGTTTTCTTACCTTCTAAGTTCATGTAGGTAGGGAGTTTTGTTTTTAACACCAGACTTTCTCTTCTAACTCTCCACGTGTGCCCTGGCCTCACCTGTTCAATGAGGGCCTGTGGGCCAGAGTTTTGTTTTTCCAGCAACAGATTTGGAAAGAAAGTCAGGTAGAGAAAGGCCTGGGACTCACTAAGAGCGACTCCTTTACCAAAAGGCCTGGGAAGCAGGTGGCTTCTGTGGGCCAGGAGCTGAGAAATGAGCTGAGCAATGGGAAATGTGGTACGGCCTGAGCCTCCTGGTTTTTGTGATTGTTTTTCTCAGGTCAGTTAGAAAATATGTGCCTTTACATAGAGGGTGGATAGCTCTGAGTTTAGCAAATTATGAAAATGCAACCCTCCACAATATGAGGTGTTGGGAGACATACTGATAAAGCATACATAATCCGAAAGTCTAATTTTAGCCTTTGTAACACAAAACTATTTAATAGATGGAAAGAATTTATTGATATAAATTTCATACCTTCCCCACATCCCTCTACTTCTTAGATCTCATATCCCTGTTTTCCTCTTTGTGAATGTTTGTCATCCAGTAACTGTTTATATCTTTCTTTCCAGCTTAATGATGCCCTTTCTGGGTCTGGGAACCCCAACCCTCAAGGATGGCCTGGTCAATGGGGAAACCAGCCTGCTGGGGCAGGGGGCTACCCGGGGGCTTCCTATCCTGGAGCCTACCCCGGACAGGCACCTCCTGGCGGTGGCTACCCCGGACAGGCACCTCCTGGCGGTGCCTACCCCGGACAGGCACCTCCTGGTGGTGCCTACCCTGGACAGGCACCTCCTGGTGGCACCTACCCCGGACAGGCACCTCCCGGCGCCTACCCTGGTTTTACAGCACCTGCTTATCCTGGACCGACTGCGCCGACTGCTCCTGCGCCAGGAGCCTACCCTGGACAACCAAGTGGGCCTGGGGCCTACCCTGGTGCCGGCCCCACTGGTGTCCCTGCAGGACCACTGGTAAGATGGCATTAGTCATTTCACGTACTTGACTGTGACCGGGACAGAGCTAAGGAAGAATGCAGAGATTTTCTGGGGCTGTAGTGCCATCACTTTGCAGTGCTTTGGCTGGGAGCTTGTTCTGGGCACTGACCTGCAAAGGGCCTCAGGGAGACCGGAAGCTTTAACATTACTGCTTAGAGCCGGTTTTCAAAGACCAGACATGACGTTTGTTGGTCCAACAGAAAAAATAGTTATTGAGCTTACTATGTGTAGTGTTGGCATAAAGAGACGCTAACCCATGGTCTGAAGCCGTCTGTAAAGCAGCTTTACTATAAACCATGTTAAGAGCTTAGTAATGGGGGGAAGTTTTTGTTACTAATAAACACTGAGTAAATAACGTGCCAGTAGTATGCTTCTACAGGGATGATCTTGTTTGACCCCATGACCACCCTGTAAGGTATTCCCATTTTACACATGAGGAAGTGGGGCACTCGAGTCATACAGCTTGCTCATGATCACAGGGAGAACATGCGGGGGAACCGAGGTAATCCAGTTTCGAAAAACCTTATAAAGATAATTTTGTAATGTAAGGATCAAATTTTCATTTATATTAAAACACATTTTAGTGAGTACATTCCAAGTGTGAAACCTTACCGCTTTAGGGCTCAGATGCATCTCAGACACAGGCTCTTCCCTTCTGGACTTCTGGTCTGGCTGGGAAATAAGCAGCTCTGAGGAAGGAGTTCAGTAGCAGCTTGGGATCAGACCTGTTCAGGACCACGTAGAAGGTGGCACAGTAGCATCTGACCTGCTTTTAGGTCGGCTTGGAGGAAAGCGCAGAGAAAGTGCTGGGGGTGTGCGTGGCATTGGGCAGGGCCTCGCCCACAGATGGTTAGTCCACTGCAGGTAGAGGGGGACAGGGAGGCACATGGGAGAGAGATTGTGGAGGAAGAACCCCAGACTCTGCTGGTTAAGTCTTAGGAGTCAGAGATGACTGGCTTTTCAAGACAGGACAAACTAGGACACCAGCCAAGGGTCAGCCAAACAGGGAACTCAGGAAGGGAGAGGATGGGGGAGGGGGCAGGAGAAACAATTCCAGTTCATATTTGTTGAATTTGCAGTATTGAGCAAATCTGGAAGGAGGAAGAATGGGACTAGTACAGATCAGGGCTAGAGATAAACGACTTTGATGATAGTTGAATCCAGGGCGGGAATTAGAGGAGGGGAAAAAAGGATGCTAGTGATGGAGCTTTGAGAATATTTATAGTACCTCAAACATAAGCATTTGAGGAATGAACTGGGAAATGTATTAACTGGAAGGTGTTCATTTCACAAATATTGAGTATCTGCTACATACTAAGCACTCTGCTAGTGCTGTGAGAAGAACACATGAGAACCCAGAAGCCCAAGAATGTGACATGATGCAGTACATTATGTGACAAGGGTCCTAAGAGTGACACAAAAATGTCAATGTTGATTGTAAGGTCTAGCTTAAGCCCTTTCAAAATATAGTTAAAGTGAATGAATTATAGACTGGGATGGCCCTAGTAATAAGAGCTACAATGCTCCAAAAAGGACTGTGTTCTGTCTTTGGCACCAATTAACTGATGGCCTTATTCTTGATTCTTAGTTTTACATGTAAGGAACCTTAGCTCTTCAGGCCCTGGGCACAGTGGCCTGGGAGTCCGGACAGATGGCTTAAATTAGAGTTGTGTTATTCACACATATTAATAGCGACTGAACTTCAGCAACATACTTTTCTTTCTTTCTCCAAGAAAACATGACTATTGATACACATGTTTTTTCATCCTCAGACTGTGCCTTATAACCTGGCTTTCCCTGGAGGAGTCATGCCTCGCATGCTGATAACAATCCTGGGCACAGTGAAGCCCAATGCAAACAGGTATAGAGCAAAATGTGGAAGTCTAACATGTTTGCTCATTGGCTTTTGAATAAAGGCTGATCTCTCTTGAAGTTTAATAGAATTTTTAAAGCTACACACATTTCGTGTCTTGGCTTTCCCATACTATGGGATTATCCCATCAATCAATATGTGTTCCCACCAAGGGAACAAGGTTTCCCGTGCCCAATCTGGTTTTTCTCCTAGAACCTATAGAAAACAGAGTTCTACATTGTGAGGACCAAGAGGAAGAGCAGACAATCCCATTCTACTCATTTTTCCTGGCAGAGAAAACCTTCTTAGCTTTAAAGAAAAGTAGAGTCTTTGTAATGGCATATTTGGCCATCCGTCCACCTCTGAACCATATAGTCTAAAAACCCATGTGTGCACTTTAGTTTAGGTGTCCATCAGAAATGAGGGTCAGAAACCTAAAGGCCCCACTGGGCATAGTGGTGAATTGGACTCAGAGCTTGAACGTGATCCCTCTGTGTCCTCAGATAAGTAAGTCTCCCTGCAGTTGTGCAGTCACAGTGCAGTCTCAGAGCTCTCGGGCTGGGCTGCCATTGGCCGTCTTCACACTGGGTGCAGCAGAGTCAGGTTCCCATTGGCCTGGTCTACGGATGATAAGTAGCAGAATGGGGAACCCCAGTCTTCTGAGTGGTTGCTATTTACTTGCAAGGTTTGAAAAGGATTGTACAAGTTGAAGACTTTGTCAAAATAAGTCAACCTTTGCCAGGGGAACTGGTTTGATTGAGGTGAGCTGGGATGGAGCAAGACTTTGAGCTACTATAGGAAGATCCGTGCTGTTTCTGGCTGCCCTGGGACACCAGACTCTGGTTGTCACCACAGGTTATATAATACTTATGTGTCATACAAACAGGCTGAAGATATCCTGAGGCCATCCAGTATGCCTGTCCCTGAGGTTAGTGGTGCCACCGAAGGTCCTGCAGCCATTAATTAGTGTCTCTGGGTCTTATAGACAGTATATAAAAGACACAAACAGACTCTGTGAATGTCTGTCACCTTGCCCCAGATGAATCAACTGGAGCCACCTCCTCCATTACCAGGAAACAGACTGGCCTGATCAGATCATTTTACATTCAAATAGCCCATTCACTCCAAGCTCTAGACAGCCTGCTGTGGGTCTACTCGCTAGTCACTACCCTGAGACAACCCTTCTTTCCATAGAGCTTATATAGCTTCTCTAAACAGTAGTTCCTTGTACAATAATGCTTGTCTCATTGCAATTTGCAAAACATACATATTTCCTGCCTATGTTCTTACTCATCTTTCCTCCCAAAACAACATAGAGCCCAGCACACCTTATTATGTGCGTGTAGCATGCAGTTTGTTAATATCTGCCCCCTTCCAAAAGCTCCTATTGCTCAGAACCACACTGTATCTTTGCCTTTATTTAGGGTTATCGAGCTGCAAACTTCAGCTCCATTTACACTAGAGATGTAGACTGAGACTGTGACAGATCAAAACTAATTTAGGTCGAAATGGTTAAGGTGCTGGTAAACTGAAAAGATTGTTGCTTGGTCCTGCAAATTCTATGTAGGGAATTGGAAGAAAAAAAGAATGCTTAAGGTGGGACAAATGACAATACCTTCCTTTTCCCTGAAGAGGAAATACAGCTATTGGATATTTAGTCAAACACTGTTTCAATTACCATTTGTTTTGGTCCCTCCCTGCGAATACATTTGTGGATGGGTTGGTTACCAGGTGAATCCAAACTCCCAGGGAATTATTGTTAGTAGGTCAGGAGTGCAGCTTTTGCTTTAAATCAAAAGCACCTGCTGAATCTGATATGCGTGCTCTATGGAGCATACTTTGAGAAACTGAAGGATAGGGTCAGCAGTTTAATAGTCAGAGGACTCGTGTTTGCATTAGCATCCGAGAAGGAATGGGGTCAAAAAGTTCTACTTCACACATGGAAACTTCAACACATTTGCTGTCATGATTTTAGAACTTAGCGGTGAGATGCCAGACATTAACTGCAATCTCATTCTTTCTCTTTTTGGAGTAGGTTCTTGGTTAACAGGAGGGAGCTGGGATTTGATCTCTTGTTTATGTGACTGGCTTGTCATCAGTAGATATTAAAAGCAACCTGGCAGGGCAGGAAGGAGGCAACTATTGTTATGTGCAATACAAGAACTGTATGCCCTCAAAGTGGCCTCAAACCTGTATAAGGAAAACAGAAACAGAAGCACAGATACATGAAACTAACAGCTGCCCGAGGGAAGGGTGGGGACTGGATGGAAGGTGGTGACAGGACTAGTCAAAGGACATTTTTGCCCTTTGACAACGACAACACAATGGTATCGATGAACTGGGAGGGGCGAGGCTGGGGCTGGGTGGAGGTGGGAAAAGAGGGGAAAACAGAGGAAACAACTGTAATAGCATAAACAATAAAAAATAAATTACAAAGATCTTTACAAGAAAACCTTGAAGGGTTTCCATGAGTAGTGGGGTAAAGGGGGAATCACAGCTGGAGAGAATGATGTAGCTAAAGACAACGAGGCAAAACAATTCGAGCACAGAATTCTCGCTGACTTTTAGATGCTCGGTGGTACATGCAATACTTGGCCTAGTGTACAGTTTGAACTCATTCTCTGGTTTGTTTTCTATTTAGAAAATTCCTGTATTTTATAAAATGATTTGCTCTTTTAGAATATCCTATGTTCTTTACTTGATACAAATACACAACTTGAATCATTTTACTAACTCTGGTCTACGGTTTAAACAGACTTGCTTTAGATTTCAAGAGAGGGAATGATGTCGCCTTCCACTTTAATCCACGCTTCAATGAAGACAACAGGAGAGTCATTGTTTGCAATTCAATGCTGAATAGTAACTGGGGACGGGAAGAAAGACAGTCGGTTTTCCCATTTGAAAGTGGTAAACCATTCAAAGTAAGTTCATCTATTATTCTATATTGATAATGCCTATTGCTTATGGGGAAATCACTCTAAAACCGCAATGCACTTGAGATGAATTTCCTTTTTTTTTTTAATTGATTTTAGAGAGAGAGGAAGACAAGAGAGAAAGAACGATTTGTTGTTACACTTATTTATGCATTCATTGGTTGCTTCTTATATGAACCTGCAACCTTGGTGTATCAGTACGATGCTCTAACCAACTTAACTACCCAGCCAGGGCACTGAAATGAGACTTTTCTCAGCTGTCCCAGGACACCTAATCAGCTCCTCTCCATCCCAGAGGACCAGGATCAGCAGGCTGGAACATAGCCAGGAGTGGCATCCACCCTGGCTGCATCCTGGTACCGCCCTGAGTTTAGGCTTTTCTGGAAATGAGAAAAATAGTGTCTTAAATAAAAAGGCAGAAAATCTCATTTGGATTGAGACTTAGTTCTTTGAAAATGACATAGTGGCCTAGCGATAAATACAAAATTTTTTTAAATTAAAAAAAATTAAAAATAAATTACAATTGATATTTAGTATTGTATTAGTTTCAGGTGTACAGCAGTTAAAAATTTTAATTCTAAAATACATGCTTATGAAAAGTAATGTATAGCTTTTGCCCTGGCTGGCGTAGCTCAGTGGATTGAGCGTGGGCTGCGAACCAAAGTGTCGCAGGTTCGATTCCCAGCCAGGGCACATGCCTGGGTTGCAGGCCATAACCCCCAGCAACTTCACATTGATGTTTCTATCTCCCTCCCTTCCCTCTCTTAAAAAAAAATACATAAAATAAATAAAATCTTTGAAAAAAGGTAATGTATAGATTTTCAAAACAACTAAAAAGTACTCCATCTTTTACCTTCTGAAGGTTGCAACTTGATATATTGCCAGTATGTTTTATGATATACAGTGAACTTTTTATTTTTAAGCACTGCTTTACCAGCATTTATTTGGTTGACAGAGCTGTGTTAGGATTGACTGTGAAGTGGGCAATAAAGCAGCTGGACTAGAATCTCCTCAAGGGCAGAGACAAATAGGGAACACAATCCATGTTTGGTGCACCTCTTTCAGTATCAGAATATTGTTATTTCATTGTTTACACATGATAATTCAACCAGTACCCTGCTGGTGAAAGTTTGGACATACTACAAATAAAACCTGGAAATATTTTATGTATAATTACTAAATACTAAAATTTTGATATTTTACTAAATACTGACATACTGTACTATTCTTATCTTTGCTTTCTAGAATTTTAAAAACTATGCGTGTTTAAAACTTAGATATTGCCAAAGTGCTACTTCCAAAAGCATGCAGGGATTACCACCTCCACTAACTATTGGAAGACTGTGTTTTCCCTACTCTTGCCAAAACTGGTTATTATCCATCTTCATAATATTTGCTGCTGTATTAGGACTTTAGTGATTATTTTTACTTTTACTTTTAGGCGGTTTAGGCCATATAGAAGCTTTTCATGTAGACACATTATTTATGTAGGTACATATATTTATGTAGATGTTATTTTTTCCTTTGTGGCTTCAACTATGTAACCTAAAAATTTTGTCATTTTGCTTTTGTTTAAATCTTTGAATAATTTGGAGATTGTATTTTTTTGTTTTGTTTTTTGTTTTGCTGTAAAGTTACTTTTCCTGGACTTGAATCAGTTCTACAAATGATCACAAAGATGAAATGTGGACACCCCAAGCGCAGGACAGCTGGTTTTGAAATTAGTGGGCATTTCTCACAGTTTTCTGTATGTGCCATTTCAGATACAAGTGCTGGTGGAATCTGACCACTTCAAGGTTGCAGTCAATGATGCTCACTTGTTGCAGTACAATCATCGTATGACGAACCTCAAGGAAATCAGCGCAGTGAAAATTTCTGGTGACATTGACCTCACCAGTGCTTCATACTCCATGATATAATCTTAAAGGGTCAGGTCTTCTTAAAAATGATACTGAATATAAACATTACCCACTTAAAAGTTTCATGTTTACTACAAGTGAAAAATTTTACCTTTATTCAACGATGTCCTTCATGTAATTCATCCATTTAATAAATATTCTCAGAGTTACTTGTTTATATGCCATTTAATTGGGGCAGTTTATTCTTGATAATGAACAGTGGACTCAATGGTAAAAGAAATATGTAGCAATATTATTAGAATAGTTTTCTATACTTACTAAAATATTTTTAAAGAAATAGGAAATACTATACAAACATTAACCTTGCTCTTCCTGAGTTTCATAAAAACAAGGAGGTCCCTCTCCTGTTTTCTTAATAAAATACATTCAGGAAACTAAAGAAGTAGAAAGAGCTCACCCATAGAGATCTATGACTCGTAAGCAATTACTGTTAGCCTTCTGGCGTATTTCTTTTGAGTTCTTTTCAATCTTATTTTCTCTCTCTAAACTCGACGTCATTGCTTTCAAGTCAGTGCTGGACACCAATGTGAGCCTATCTCCCCATAGGTTTTCTTGTTTTTTACAAACCCTCCAGACTGTAGAGGGTGGGGGAATAGTTTCTCCATTAGATATATAATCAGCTTCAAAACTTTAATAGTTCCTATTGTCAACATTCTTAACTATGCCTTTCTGCCCTTCCTATTATCAGCAAACCCAAAGAATAAAGTTTCAAAACTAGGATGTAATCACACACCACTTCATTTTTAAAGACCCAACATTATTTGTTTCTATTCTACCATCTTCTCAAATTGGTAATTGCCACAGGCTGGTTTCCCCAGGAAGCAAAGAGACCAGAATACAAGAGGAAATCAGGGAATGCTCTTGTAATCAAGAGCTGTGGGGACAAGCAGGTACACAACGGGGCAGAGGGAGAAGTCCAGCATGAATGCCTCAGGCCACCCTACAGGGGTCCTGAAGCTGGGAAGACCCTTTGGAGTAGTCAAGAGAGGGACAGGTCCTTGTATCCCCACTTCAGTAAATGAACACAGGTCATCTGGAAAACAGTAAAATTGGGTGAAATGGTTCTCCACCTGAGGCATTTCTGCGGGATTTTGGAAAGGGTCTTATTCTACCTGAGCAGTTTCCTTTCATTTTGTCTTTAAAAAAGATCTTCCTGCCCTGGCTGGAGTAGCTCAGTGGATTGAGCATGGGCTGCAAACCAGGCATCGCAGGTTCGATTCCCAGTCAGGGCACATGCCTAGGTTGCAGGCCATAACCCTCAGCAACCACACATTGATGTTTCTCCCTCTCTTTCTCCCTTCCCTCTCTAAAAATAAATAAATAAAATCTTAAAAAAAAAGATTTTCCTTATACCTCATAATTCTGGAGTCCAGTAGCCCCAGTACACTCTATCCAATTGTAGGGGACACTGTCAGTGACCCACACGAAACCCATTCCTATGTCCTAATGATTGTGGTTTTATTCAGGTATGATCCTACAATCAGTAGGGAAGCATTAGTTTAAGCCATCCCTCTGCTGGTTGTTACTGATTTGTAGAAGGAGATGTGGCATTAGTTGGCCTACCCAGACCACAGGGAAGGGCACTGCTCTGATTACCACTAGCAGCCATATTATGACCCCAAAGGACCCATCCTCAGAACAGTGCCAAGGATGACAGAATGGACTAGAACAGAAAGTTGGACCTTGATGCCATCACTGAGCTGTTGATTGTAAAATGCCGAGAATCACCCTGACGACTTGTGAAATAAATTTCCTTATTGTTAAGCCCGTTTGAGTTAATTTTACTATTACGTAATAGCCCCAAACTTTCTAAATGATTCAATAATATATCTTCTTAAACCTACCCCCCAATCATCTTTACTGACATTGTCTTATTCTCATCTACATTGTTTCATTAGGTGGCATAGATTCTAAGTCTTGGATTATTTTGTACCAACCTCTTTTACATGTCCATGGCCCTGGGCCCCTAGAAAACCCTCACTTTTATATATGCTTCTTTGCATATGCATGTACAAAGAAGCATATATAAAATGCATTCATTATATATGCAATCATTAATGAATTCTGCATATTTTGCTTGAATTGTTCATTATGAATAAAAGCAATTTTTATCTTTTGGTAAGACTTAGGCATTTAGAGAACATTCTTCTAAGATGGCACCCCACATAGCCTCCCAACTGCTTGCATGGATTTAATAAACAAAAATACATGTGTTTCCTTGTTTGAAAACCCCTAGTCTTAGGGGGCTGATCCACAGTTTCTGTTTATTGGTCAACCTGTTTGAAGGCAGACATAACTGGACAAGGGTCTGGTCACAAACCTCAGCGACGCTGAATCTTCTCGGTGCTCTGTTACTCTGATGGCCCTGTCTGCTACAAACCTATAGGTAAGAGTTTTATAAAAGAGAAATACTTCAAACACATAAAGTGATTGATGTAATTGTCTTCAAAGAAGGCATTTCCTTCAGAACCTGTCATGTTCAAGGGGAAAATAAAAAAGGAGAACTCAATGGGCACCTATTTAACATTGGAAATGGCAACATGGAAACTGACATCAGAATCCAGAAAACTCACCTATAGAAACTCAGTATAACCTGGAAAATGCAATATGCAAAGCTGTTCCACATCGACAAATTGAAAGTTCAAACTAAAAGTAAATTACGAAAGGACACAAATATTTCTGTCAAAGTTTAGTACTATATTTTGATTAAGCTGAAGAGTATTCATAAGCTCTGAGTAAGCATTCTTAGCTTTAAGCGTATACATTTTAAAGAAGAAAGTCAAGGCATGGTACACGTTTTATTCTGCATGGCTATTGTACAAAATATCCCCACTTCCCTTGAGAAATGGCACCACATCCAAAACACACTTTGATGAACACTGAATATTAAAACATTCCATGACACTATATAAATGAATAGAAGTGAACAAAAATACAAAGTCTTCATCCTTTTGGTATTCTAAGAATACACCACAGCATTGATAATATGAAGGAAAATGTTTGGAATTATTTTTAAATTCAAACTTCTTCTGGTTGTTCTCCACTGAGGGGCCTTAGAGGTGAAAAGGTAATCAGGTTACCACCGAAGGAAATGTGTTTGGCCTGTTCTCGCCGTCTCCTCCCCACAGGAGTGAATGGGTTACTGCAGTTGAGGCCTGGCTGGAGGACAAGTTCAGAGAAGTCACTTAAAGCATCAAGAGTTTCACCAATTTACTTCAACATTGCAAATGAACCGCAAATTATAACGTCAATACTATTTCCCCACACAATAAAATTATTAGTAACATAATGATTGAGCAACTTTCCAGATCTAATTTCAAATACATAGCTTTCAACTGAAAGAGGTATATTAATTAATACATGCCTAAAAGGTGATCAGGAATAGGTAAATGCACTTCAGCAGCATATTGCACGATGAATAAAAGTTGTGTGGGCGGATTTCACAAGCCCACTATAACCATACAATAGCACTTAATAGGCCTTTTACTAGAATGTGATCCTGCTGAGATCCTTTTTCTTTGTTCCCCCTCAAATCCTACTTTGGGTTCAAATGATGCTACAGAATAAGTAATAGTTCTAAAATAGATGAACCTATAAAATTTTTTAATATAATTTCTAATATTTATGGAAGTGGAAAAGAATTCACAAGGAGACTAAATTATAAGGAAGATTTATCAACAAGATAATGTATGACTGTGAAGCAATTTTAATTGTATTATTAACATACTAAAAACAGAATAATATTTTTCTAGACTTAGTTATAATATCATATAAGAAACATTCAGAATTCAGATCTGACTTAATCAGAATTAAGTCACATATATATAAATTGGCCTTATGCTAAAGTCCCTGACCCTCTAGGCCTCAGCCTATAATCAAAGAAAGGTGAGGGCAAGAAAGAAAGAACAGCAACAAACTTCATTCTGCTCTGGAGATCCAGGGTGGCCCAGGGCCTGAATGCAAAGAAGGCATCTTTGAAAGATAATGAAAGCCAAGATATACGGAGGTCCTTACGGAACTAGTGGCTTAAGGAAGCCAGGCAATAGTTGCTGTTTGACCCTATACTTGCCTTAATGAAATTTTTATATTCTGAGATCAAAGCTGAACAAATCAAGGCCATCTCCTGACCCATTTTGAGATTTTTTTTCTTGAGGTAGGCCAATATTGTTACGAATGTCCCTCTTAGAACCACTTTTGCTGCATCCTGTATATTTTGTTATGTTGTATTTCTGTTCTAATGTATCTCTAGGTATTCTTGATTTCTTTGGTGACACAGTGTTTGTTCAGCAGCATATTGTTTAACCTTCATGTTTTTGTGTTTCTTCCAATTTTCTTCTTGTAATTGATATAACTTCAATCTTCTTGAATTTATTTATTTTTAAAAAAGATTTTAGTTATTTCTTTCTAGAGAGAGGAAGGGAGGGAGAGAAATATCAATGTGTGGTTGCCTTTCATGTGCCCTCTACTGGGGACCCGGCCTGCAACCCAGGCCTGTGCCCTGACTGGGAATCAAACTCGTGACCTTTGCTTTGCAGTCCGGCGCTCAACCCACTGAGCCACACCAGCCAAGGCTTTGTGAATTTATTAAGATTTGTGTACTAGTCTATCCTGGAGAATGTTCTGTGCGCACTTAAGACTGTGTATTCTGCCATTTTTGGATGGAATATTCTGTATATATTAAGCCATCTGATCTAATGCATCACTTAAGCTTGATGTTTCTTTTTACTCTTTTTACTTTTATTAGCATTTCTTTTCATCTTAATTTACTCATGGTCCATAAGTTTTGTTTCTTCAGTTTCTACTGGGATATTTTTCTTCTGTGAATCCTCTTGTGGTTTAGGGACTATCTGCTCTTTTTCACTAAGGATCATCACAATGTGACAGGGAGAGCTTCATGTATGGGTTAATCCACCCATGAGCTCTAAGTTCTGTGTCACATCTAAGTTCAGTTCTGTTTTGTTCATCTGGATGTGCTCAATGACCAGAGAATCTACATCTAAACCCTTAACATCATTATTACTCTCTGCATTTTTAAGCCTGCATAGCAAAAATTCAGCACTCTTTCTTGGTGACCGACCCTGTGTCCAGGCCCACTGTTTGGCCTGGGGTCACCTACTAACTCCACCATTATCACAACAGAATGGCACAC